CTTTGAAAAAGAATTCAAAAAATAACTATTGTAACAGTCTGGAAAATATTAAAAGAAGAAAAAAAATTTTAGATCTTTTCATATATGTTATACTGTTACAAAATAGATTATTAGCATAGCATATTATATTATATTATTAGTAGTTATTATATATTTATTATTGTATTTTATATTATATTTATTATTAGTTATTAGCATAGTTATATTATAATATATAGTAGTTAGATAATAAGATTTTAATTGACTGTTAGAAATATAATACAGACATATGACATTGAGTAATATCTATAATAATACTATTGTTTTACAAACTCTAAATACTTCTATATAAGTTTCATATATCCTAGTACAATTTATTATATCAAATACTATAGTACAAGAATCTCAACTATTCCCAACACAATCTTCAAGTGTCCTTGCACAATTTCAAGTATCTTCAATATAATTTTCAAATGTTCCTATACAATCCTAACTGTCTCTATACAGATCTAAGTACTTTGACACATGCTTTAAGTGTTTTAAGTATAAATGACAAATACATATAAACATTATCTCAATTATCTTTGTACAAACTCCACTTGCTTCTACACAATCCCTACTATCTCAAATACAGTATCAAGAGATGTCACTCAAATTCTCACTACTCCCACTAGGTAAAAAGATATATAAAGGATACCTTTTCTTCTTTTCTATCAATTCTAAGTTTCTATACTTCAACCTAAACATAATGATCTTTTAATTATAAAATATGATATTCCTTTTTTAGGATAATTCCTATAGACAAGGTTGTCATCATATGTGTTGTTAATAAAAAGTTAATCTATATACTGTTACTATCTCAAACCATTTGCCTGCTACTATGTAGTAAAAGTAAATTACTACACCTCCATCCTATATATATTTGCAATAGTCAATCACTGTACCAGGTGACCTTGTTATTTGGTTATATTGTACCAAGAAAACTACAACCCTGTAACAATACATAATGTTTTTTTTAAAAAAAAACAGAAGAAATAAAAATAAGAGAGATATTAATTAAAAGTCTTATTTCAAAAAAAATATAAGACAGATTAAGATAACTCCTAAGCATGAAATTAAAATAACAGTTTATGAATATAATAACAAGAACAGTCTAAGATACATTTTATGAACAAATATGAAGAATCTGATATGAAAAATTAATAAATAGATAAAAAAAGAAGGAATAATGAATAAGATAAAAAGAAGAAGAGAAAAAAAAGAAAAACATCAAATAAAAAAAGAAAACCAAATCAACAAAGAATAGAAAAAAGAAAAAAAAAATAAGGAAAAAAAAAATATAAAAAACAATTCTAGAACTTGTCATGAAAAAGAGAAGACTCTTTTATTATGAACTTTAAGTAATCAGATGAGCAGCTTACTTCTGCTTGAAGTAATACAACAGGTTACACTTAAGTACCATTAGGGTGGCCAGGTAATGCTGGACTTAATTGTTAAGGATATTTATGTAATTGCAAATGTAATTTCAAAATCTTAATAAAGTACTAGCGTGACTGCTTAAAGGAAAAAAAAAAATTTACTGCGTAGATCATATGACATGTACTCTACCTTTAACACACAAAAAAAAAATGCTCGAGGAAAACATTTTGTTAGAGCACACAAGACGGTTTCTTATGCAATATTTTGAGAAATAAGAGATTTTTGCTAAATCAAACGTTTGTGGATTTTCCAGTATCATCTAGTGAATTCCCATTGGCCGTAAATATGAAGAATTTGTAACAATGGCAGGGATTCTAATGAGAGAGTGGGCTGTTGTCAGGTGCTTCACTGGTACCCTACTTTGCATGTAAGATCTAAATTCAGGACAAATTTCAGTCAGTGCAATTTCAAGCACAACAGCACCACTTGGACTGTCTTTTTGATGTTTGTTAACCTTACTGTCAACTCGAAAAAATTATGCAAGAATTCGATTGTGATTTTATGAATGGAGATTTTTATATGTTGTTGGATATATCATTTGTTCCTACAACAGAATGGATCTCAGACGAAGTCAAAAATCAAATAAATAAAATTTCGGTTTGTACTTATTTGAATACCGCGCATTTTAATGAAATATCAGTCGCAGATGAAGTTAACTGTTCGTCTGATTATGAAATATATAAATTCAATTTAGACAGCTTTAAAATGCAAAACATTTAATTTTGGTATAAGTTTTATGTGATTTTTGATTTATGTAACGTAAAACAATTAGACAATAATAAAGTATGGATCTTTTTGTTTTTACGTTTTTAATAATTACTGTTTCGAAAATGTGAATAGCGATAATATTTCAGAGGTTTAATGATAAAATTATAATTAAAAGCCCTACAATCATGGCAGTTATGGTAGAAGATATGATTTTGTAGCAACTAAAATGTGTATTTTAGCTGGTTTTGGGAATTCTATGAATTCTAAATCCATTTATATGAATTATTAATACAATAACTTTAGTGAAAAGATGGACAAGTGAAACTAAATTTTGCTACATAGTAAGAAATATACAATAGTTTGACAATAGCGCATTATGGTTATCTTTAAAATTGATACTGCACCAACCATTTCACCACGTTTTAAAAAATTGTCCACTAAAAATCCATATTCATATAGAAGACCTAAAATCTTCTCGTAACATTACACATATAATTGCTCGAGAGTGAGGCACGAACTTGGACAAATAGATACTAGAAGACTTTATTAATTAATAGACTAGTGCGAGAGACTAGCCCAAGCGATAGATATTTACATTCTGCTAAATACACTATCTACGTTATATCTGCTAAACACGCTATATCGACTAAATTCTACTTGTAATCATGACATTCTTGCAGTTTCTTATATACTAATAATTTTATTTATCAACTATTTCAAGTTCTTACATTAATAAAATTGATTCTGGATTTAGAATCGCTTAAGTAGATTCCAAATTCATAAATCCTAAACCAAACACAGCAGTAACAAAATAATAAAGAATTTTGTAAGAAAATCGTGACACATGAACGAAGTTAGATCATACATTAGATGCATTTAGAAATGAAAATTTGAGTAGATGCATATCGATATAAAATGCTAAATTACGTACGTACAGTGTACTGTACCTAATCAGGAATAAATATGTATTTAATTAATTAACTTCCAATAAAACAGCATACAAGGAGCAATCTTAGCATTTGTATTTAATCGTTAAGAAAGTGTCGCCTACCCACAATTAATATTGTAATCTCTGCTTTACTTCTCTACGACAAAATGAAATTTTATTCAATTCTCATCGCATTCATAGTTATTATATCTCTAGCTTCGGCCTACCCGTATGCCGAAAATTCTGATCCCGTAGCTTCTTCTGATCAGCCTACAATAGTTAAACAACATGTTCAAGCATATTGAAAAATAAACGTATCAAGAACAGAGAAATTTATCCAGAAGATTATTTAATTGAAGCAAAAAAAAATTTATTCCTTTTCTCTTGAATAATCAAATGACATAAATATTAAAAATGTATTTCAAAAAAATACTCGATACCTATTTTACTTACATAAAATATTTAATTCTTTTTTCAACCAAAAATTTTCATTATATTATAATATTAAATAATTCAATTTATACACACATATATAAATTTAATACCCTTTACCTTTTTACGGTTATTTACTAAAGGGATTTAGTTATTTTTTAGATTGGAATTTATTTGTAAACATGTCAGTACCAGTGTAATTCTTTTCTCAAGAAAATGATTTCTAACGTTTCTATTTTCTTCCAAATTAAAATAAAGGTTTATTTATTGAGTGTATTATTATTTTTTTTTAACTAAATTGGTTTATTGATAACAGATTTAAGTACTATATTAATGAAATAAATTCTTATAATTTGCTCTCGGGTACTCGATTTACGATGTTACAGACTTGTATTCTAACTTATTTTAAAGTTTATTAATAATTATCTAAACTTCGAAGTTAAGGTTTTTTAATAGTGATGTTAAAAATATAAGTTTATTATATATGTTTTGTGTCATTGTTCGGTTACATTAAGATTTAGAAAAACATTTAATTTTGCAATTCAGGATCGATCAGTCTGTTTTAGATAATTTTAGACTTAATCAACTTTTACAAACCATAGAATTCATCAAAAATTGGATTTTCTACAATGATGAAACTAACATGCAAAGAAAATGGTCATGTAATTTTGGAAAGTATTAAAATTTTTTACTTTTAAACTCGGCTTCTTGGTTAATTCTTTGTGTTAATTAGTATATATTATATTAATGCTCATAACCATTCTCATAAAATTGTGAAATGTGGCTTTATCAAATTTGATTTTTGTTGCTGCTTATTATTTAAATGATAAACTATTTTAAGCGAAAAAAATGCTAAAAAGTTAATCGAAAGTATTGCAAAATTGAAAGCATACTTGTTTACTTTTTCAACAATAATAAACATTCCTGTCCTATCGCTATGATTATCACAAAATTCATCCTCTCAGTAATAATTTATAGATTGAAGCTATGCATAAACAAAATATAGACAGCTAAATTCTATTTACTTGGTTGTTTAATGAATAATTATTATCGTATGGAATTTTATTATCACATCTTGATTTTGGATTGTATCATCCTTAGAGTATTTTGGGTTTTCAATTCTTCATCCGTAAATTCATTTATTATTTTGCAAGACCTTTTCTCTCTACACATATTCTTACAAAACTTTCAATCTTCACATGTATTTGGTCATCAATATTCAAGATAACGTTCTTTTTCACTTTTGCATTTAGAAACTGCCTGGTTCTATTAGAAATAAAAATTTATTAAATTGTCAATGAATCTAAAATTTGATTTTAAATGATATATGCTCGCTCACTAATCCCTCTTCGAAAACTTTTTCATAATATAATCTCAACGGGCACATTCGACATTAGTCTTTTACGAAAAAGGTAATATTAGTAGTGCGTTGACATATTTTTTATTTATTAATAAAGGAAAATGCATAACTAGGTCATTCTCTAGGATTAGTAAGCACCGAAGAAGCTACCCTTTGTTTGCAAAATAAAAACAAGTATATAACTTTTTTAAACTCGCAATTATTTTCATCTACCCCTTCGACTCGATGTGACTATGAATTATTGAGGAATTTTCAACTTAATAGTAAAGAAACTGAATTAATAATCGTTATTGAATAATAAAATAACAACGCAAGGTATTTTATTGATTTAATTAAGAAACATAAGAACTAGAAAACAAAAAAGTTAAATTCCTAAGTTTTGCCATAAAAAATAAAGAAAATGCAAGTTGCAAAGTTTACCATTATAGTCACTATATGGTTCATCCGAATTGAAAATATGTGGGATGAAAATAAAATAAAGGTTATTAAAAAAAAAGCGCTGTTCCTGGGATGGTGTTTTAAGTGTATCGATAATATGATCATATAGGACTATATTAGTCGCATGTCTAGAGATGTGCCGCGTATACTGTACTGTGTGTACGTACTTACTATACGCGAAAATTTCTGTACCATACCACATGACAATATATCACGCTTCATAACATTTTTCCAATGTGACGCAGTATATGTGACATCATAATTATTAATTGATTTAGAATAGGTGTCACCTATATCGCAAGAGATCTAGACCTAAGAGCTAGTAACTTATATGATGTTAATTAAATAAATTGCACATAGATGTTCGCTTAGAGGATTTACACTAAAAGAGAATTCACTATAACAAATTACTCTTAGTATAAACCATTTTATTAAAATCCAAGATTATTACTTCAAAATATGTATCATATATTTTTACTAAATTCGTTCATAACCAAAAAAGTATTAAATATTAAATATATACTATACTAAACATTTAAACAAGCACTTGAATAGACAGTTAAAGTCTTAAAAATTTTTTCATCTTTAACTTTCCAATCGATGATTTTAAATTTCCAATCTTTTTCTAAAAATTCTATGCTAATATTCCCAGACTGATCAATATAATGAATATTATTATTTCCTCTTTTGAACAAATAATCATCAAATTCAATTGAAAAAGAGGATACGCAAAATCTATCATAATTCAACCAAATTTCTACAGGCCAATAAAGAATTGATTTATAATCGGTAGGAAACTCGGTAAATACAAATTCTCCTTTCGAATTATTGTAAATTGGATGACTTATTTCGTAAGCTACATCTTGACCTGGTGGTTGATATGATGAAAATATCTAAAAATTAAATTGAAAAAAAACAATTAAGGCAGAGAAATAAAAGAAACTTGATATGAGTGAATTGAGTCTAATATCTACACAAATTTTCCAACCATGTTCAAAGGATTGAGAGATTTCATCATTAATTGCAACTGTAACCAAGTCATTCCATTGTTTACAAGTCCTTCGCAACTTTCTAAAATCGGCAAAACTTTTTTTCACCACAAATAGAATTTAATTTGTTAATAAGTTTTTAATTTTTAAACAATTTACTATTTATTATTCCACAATGCAATATTTATTTTAACTCACACCTTGTTCCTTTAAGAACATAGCGAAGTACACTGAGAACAAGTTCATTAGGTAAAATTGAGTACATAATGGTCAGAAGAAAAGGGGGTGAAATGTTTAAGTTGGCTAAAGGCAGCACGAATTTATTGGTACTACAAATGTAAATCACGAGGAACTCTATTAGGAACCTTATATGGATAAAATTTATTATGTATATATATTTTATTATCAGGATTGTAATGATAATGATAGCTATAATTATGCATGTTTAAACAGGCCTACCGAATAATTGATATTAATTGCAAATATTTGAACCCAATTAATTGATTAGTTGCGCAGCCACAAGGGTCAATCATTGCGATTTGTAAAAGAAATCAGTTATGGTTAGTGATTTCTGATTTCCAATATTTTTTTAGACTTTAAATTAGACTTTGATATTATGCAAAACTTTATAGAGAACATTTAACCCAGTAATCATCACATCACGTGAAATCACGCAATATGTCATTTGTTTGCTAGCACTAACAAATCGGGCTAAATTATACTATCACCCTAACCCAAACACTAACCCTAATTTAGGCCGTGCGTTTAATTATGTTATGTGATTACCACGAAGATATCGCTGGGTTCACATTACCCATTTTACAAAAAAATATAGTAAATTCTAATTTAATAACTTATTGGTATATTTATCGAACTTTATAGGTTTGTTTTTTTTATAATTTTTAAAATGCTTTCTTCTTTAGCATTTTTTTCATCTTCAGAACTTGATATGATTTTATTATTACTTATTTCAAATAATATATATTGACATTTTTAAAAGTATTTTATGATTAGATTTACATGAATATATATTAAGAAAATTGATATTTTTTTTTTTGCTTTTGCTAAGACCGTGGTTATCAGCATCTATTGTCTTTATTGTATTTTAATTATGATTACATAACTTGTACAAGGTGAGTATACAACTAGTTATACATACAACTTTTGGTTGTTTATTTTAAGTAGTCTACCTGCATAGCAGGTTCTATACTAACTGTTATACTTGCAATTTACTAGGAGATTACCTATTTAAACACTCTGATCCTTATATTTACACCAACAAATAGTACACAAGTTTTTATATACCTAAGTGCTGTCTAACCTAACCTTGCCCTCCCTTTTTATACATTTGTTCAACCATTATATATTTCAGAGTATATCACCTAATTGTAAGATTTCAGAGGATCCTTCTACTAACTAATTATTTACATTTAATCTTTTTTGTTAACAGGATTTATCCTTGCAAAGTTTACTTAGACTTTAATACTAACTTTATAACATATTCTTAATACTTATAGTATATTTTTGTTTTCAATCTCAGACTCCTAATCCAGATAGTCCAGAAGGATTATAATCTGTCTTTAGTACTTCAGGGTTTATTCTTAAGGTTTTTTTTCTTTAATTTGAAACTTCTGGCAGTCTGGTTAGTAATACTTCTCATCTGAGATTCTTGGTTACCTAATTTTTTTCATATTGGTATCTGTTTTCTAGATTTAGTCTTTACAATAGTATTATCAAAAATTCATACTATCTCTTTATTCAGGTCTTTTCAAATGGGTTCTAGTTTTTTAATTCACAGATTTATATGTTCATGAGAATTTATCTTGAGTTTGTATTACTTAATACTAGTTTGTAATCTTCTGTATAATTCCAACATTATATAGATGCTTTATAACCTGCTAGTCATACTGATGTGATCATATTATAGGTATCTTATTCTAACTGATTAACAGAATGTTATTATCATAATATTATCTATATATTACATAGATGATTATTCAAATTTTTACTATTGGTAAGTTTTGAACTCATTACCTACCACTTGAGAGGTTAATAACTTATTTATTTTATTAAGTCATCATACTTCTAAAATTGAAAAAATTAATATTTATATCTTTTATTTTTGATAATTGTATATTTTATTAATAAAAATACTTTAAAATAAATATTTTTATTAAATAAACTTTTTAGTAGTATTAAGCAAAATTGTTTCTTAAACTTTTTTGAATTTAATAATAGTAAAATAATTAAAATTGATTTGAAAATTTTTGAGTTATTAATATTTAAAGTTAACAAAAATTAATTAAAAACTATTAATTTAATTTTACTATTATTAGAACTAAGAAACAATTTTATTTAAAACTATTAAAAAGATTTATTTAATAACAAATAACTATTTTAAAATAATTTTTGTTTAATAAAAGATATAAATATTAAAAATAAAAAATATAAATACTAATTTTCTATATTAAATATATTTTCTATAAATATAAAATTTTTTATATTAGATATTTTGTAAAGAATTAAATTTAATATAATTAAAATTTTTTTTGTTTTTTTTAAAAATATCAAAGTAGAAACTTTATTAGATAATAAGAAAAATTATTTTTAAATTACATTTATGTTACTTATTTTAAGACATTCAATATAACATATATATCTATTTTTATATAATATTATTATTAATTATTTTAAATTAATTTTAAGTATAGAAAAGTTAAAGAAAACTTAAAATAATAGTCTTGGCATTTAATAATACAATTAGTAAGTAAATAGTCTAAAAATAATAGTTTTTAATAGATATAGTAGAATCAATAGTAGAAATCTGTTAGTTATATTATAAGTTTTTTTATTGTTACTAAAAAATATTACATAATAATTATATTTGTTGATAAAACTAATTAAGAAAAGTATTTAATAGAGTTATAAAAAAAGTAATATTGTTTTATTAAAAAATATTTTAACATTATTATATAAAAATATAAAATAGAGCTCTTAAATAAGATTTTATAATAATATAGTATAAATTGTATTTGTAAATTTAGTAAAAATATTTAATTATTAAGCAGTATTTATAATTAAGTTTTAAAGAATTTATTAAAAATTAAATTTTTATTTAGAACAAGTTAAAAAATGAGCTATACTTTAATTAATTAACAGTAAATACAATTTGAAGTAGTATATAATAAAAAATAATGTATATTAAGATTTTATATAATTAGTAAGTTGTTGTTAATAATTTTTAATTAAAATAGATAATATTTTTTGATTATTTTTAAGTGAATTAATAATATTAAGATTAATTGACTATTTAATAAAAAATAAATTTTAAAAAGATTTAAATTGTAATTAAAAAAAAGTAATTAAATAATTACAGTATTTTTAAAAAATAAGTAAGCTTTAGTAGTTATTATATTATCATACTATATAAAATAAAAAAGAAATATTGTTGCAAAGTCAAATATAATTTAATATTTAATAATACCTTGTTTAGTTAAAAAATTAGCTTAATTGTAAAAAGAATTATTAAAATGAGATTTAATTTTATAAAAAAAAATATTAAGCAATTTTGTTTAAATAAGATAATAGAAAGGATGGTGATCCTAGTGTAGTGGTTGGGTTGTCATCCTCCAAGTGGCAGGTCTAAGGTTCAAATCCCACCTATGA